GGGGAACCTCTCCAAACCCCACGGCTGTTTCCAGCACCCGGATCTCACCTGGTTTTGCTGTTCTGCCTCATGAATAAATGAATTTCTGCCTCCCGGCTCACCCACGGTATGCCCATCGTTGGTGAATATTCATTAAGTGAAAATAGCATCTATTAGGTCTTAATTAACTTATAAAAGGCTTGTTTTGTGGTAATGAAGTATATGCTCTAGATGTGCCTCGTGGCAGCTGGTGGATGCCCCTGCCCACGCAGCCATCCCCGAGCAGGGTCTGACCCCTCCGGCGGGGGCACGGGTGGCTGGACCCCGTCTTCTTCCCCACAGCTATGAAGTTACATCTGTGAGGAGGTGTCTGTGACCTAAGTGTGTGCCGAACATTAGCTCAGGTTTGCAAAGTTTCATTAGGTGATCGTAGCAATATGTCCTGGGCTGCGGCAGTGGTCTGATATTTGGTGTCTGATATTTGGTATCTGATGTTTGGTGCCGGGGCTGTTTGGGCACTTCAGGCACCTGTTGGAGTTTGTTCCGTGTCCGGGTGAGCGCAGCCCTTTGGTTTGGGTTTCATGGGCTGTCCCACTGCAATGGGATGTTGATGGGCTTTAGCTGAATATCCCTGTGAGCTTGCTTAGAAACTGTTAGGGAGGCATCAAAAACTGCTGCACTCAAAGCGAGCGGTAGGATGTAGGAGGAGGTTGCACGGCACACTAATGGGAACTGACCTGAGCAGCGATCTTTTCCCTCTTGACGAATTTTTCACCATTTTTCAGACTTCATTCAGTTCAGCGTGGGGTGGGGAAGCAGCAAAGGCAGTGAGAGCGCATCATCCCGGTGTGGGAGCAGGTGAGCATCCCCAGCGCTGCCCGCCGGGAGCTCGGCCCCGCTGTCCTCCAGGGCCATGACGGGGAGGGAGCCTGGCATCCAGATGGAGGAAAACACACCATTAAAGAGCTGGTGGCAGCAGTGGTGCTTGTCGAATGTATTATTTCCTCTGTTAGGATTCACTGTTGTCCTTAAATGCACGCAAGCAGCAGGGGGAAAATGACTGACTTTGCAGGTGAGAAGAGAAAAAGTAATTACAGGCGAATGCAGAGCAAACACTGAAAAGGAGAGCAGGAGCTGCCCTCCCGCTGGCCAGGAGAGCTGTGACAGGGATGCAGTACCCTGCCAGCATCTCTGTTTCCATAGGGCTGGCCAGAAACACCCTAACCCATTCCCTTCCACCTGATTAATTTTTGCCTTTCAAGCGCTGGCAGTTGCTTGCTGGAATAAATGGTTCTGTGTTTAGGAAGGGCAGAGGCTCTGGAGCAGTTCCTCGCAGGAAGCACTCAGTAGCTGCAACGCAGGAAAACCCTCACCAAGCCGTAACGTCAACTGCAATAAGGAGCTGCAAATCAACACAGCTCCTGGATGTGTTTTTCAGAAGCACGTGTGATCAGAGTTTTACAAAGGCTCAATATGTAATGCCTTTGTCAAAGCCGAGCAAATTATAAAAAATTTCAATTTAGCCAAGACTTTTTTCAGACAAGACACAGAACAGGTCTTGAAGCAAGTCTGTAAATTAAATTCAGCCACACAGCTCACAGACTGAAAAACTCCATCATTGACAAGGAAGAGGAAGGAAGAGATGAGGAGGGGCTTCCTGACTTTTGTTTTTCCACCTGTTTCTGTAAATTATATGCTTTGTGTTCACAGTTGGGAAACAGACGGAGGAATGGGAGAGCAGGGCAGTGACTATCAGCGGTGTAGCTTTTTAACATTTTGCTGCCATGGGCGTGCAAGCCCCCTTCCTCCAGGGTCTGCTCCCAAGGCTTGGGGGTTTGGAATTGGCAGCAACATTTTTTTTTTCTTTTTCTTTTTTTGCCCCATTTTTTTGATGGGGACCTGTTTCTGGAGCGGTGGCAGCAAATGGTCACCTTGGACCTTGGTGTGAGGAAGAGATTCCCCATCAGCCTCGCCCCCCCTTTGCCGCCCTCCCCGCAGCCGTGCGGGAGCTGCCGGCACGACCACGATCCCAGCACCGCGCATTGCCTGTCACTGCTGCAAAAGCCACTGGGCCGATGCTGCAGCTCTGACCCGACTGTTCCCTTTCCCCTCCCCTGCCCCTCGCACCACTGTAAGAAATGCCACAAGCGCCGGGGTCCGATTCTGGCCACGGGGCCCCTGGTTCCTTCTCATGGGTGAGACCAGGGGCTGTATTGCTGGTCCAAAGTTGCTAAGCTGAATTATGCTTTTCTTGATCTGGATAATGTTACCAATTTGCATGAGTTGGAAATGATAATTACATTTTAGTGGGAAGATGGGTGCTTCCAAATGGCATTTAAATCCATGATTATTGGAGTGGTTTGGTCAGGGAACAGTTGTTATCAATGCCAGCTCTTCCCCTCTGTCACGGATTACTGCGTTTGGGCAGGTCTCCAGCTGAAAAAGAAAAAATCAAGCCATGCACTACGTGAATCGGGAGATAAATTAAGTGCTATTCAGGGGTTCCCATCACCGATGGGTTATGCAAATGAAGGACCATGTTTCCCAAAAGCCTCTGTTTTGTGCATGACCAAGCCCTCATGCATGGGGAGGCTACCTCTGAAGTGACGTGAGATGTCCGCAGGGGTCAGAGTCTGGGTGGGCAGGGGGGATGCGGGTTGCGATGCTCACCAGGATGGAGGCTGGTGGCTCTGGCTGCACCATCTTTCAGCCAAAGCTGGCTGTGCTATTGAGCCTCAGAAAAGAAAAGATGTCTGGAGAAATTAGGGGTGCTATAGCTGTCAGTAATGGAAAAGGCAATTTCCCGAACGCTATTCCCTGGAGGCTGGGGAAGCCAGGCACCTTCTGATATCCAGTTCTGAATTTTATAGCAGGCTGTATATATCCTTTTTGTTGTGGGAGAGATGTTTATTGACATAAGTAGCCAATGGTCACCTGAATACTGTTTTTCTTACTCTAAAAAAGAACAAATAGTCATATTTAAGCCAATGAAAGTATAAAGACGGTGATGATTACAGACTGGAATAATAACGAACATTTTTCTGAGCAGTGGGAGCAGAGCGGTATTGTCTGAATGTTCTGTCTAAACATGAGAACCATCTTGTCTTGTTTTGTTTCATGCCGTTGGGAAAACGTGTGACTTCCAGGGCCGTGTGCCTGCGCGTCCCATGGTGGTGTCACGCAGAGATGCTGGCTCCCCAGGCTCCCTGTGCTAGCGTGCCTCCCGCAGCCCCCCACCTTGCTCGCTGCGTGCTGGGGACTAGACCAAAACCCGAGACACTGTAAAATCCTGCCAGGATTTTACCTGTAAGGTCTGGAAAAAGATCAGTGCCAGCTGCCTGTACCCAGGATCTGTGTGTTTTGCTTTTTGCACACATTCCTCTGCCACTCCCTTCTCACGGTTCCTTTGCCGTAGCACCTCACTCTGCAGTGCCAGCAATGATCCCGCGTAGTGCTGCTCCCTCCGATGGGACCACACCACATGGCAGCACCTGTGTGCTGGGAGGAGACGAAGGGAGCGAGTCTGGTATAACCTGTCTGCTGGCAATCCCACCGGCGGGGTGGCTCCCAGCCTGGCACCGGTGTGTTTCTCCCTGCGGGGTGTTCGCTGTGAGCCAGCTTGCCGTGAGGCTGCAGGGAAATGCCGTGGAGCAGCCGTGAAGCCTCCATGGAGCGGTGGTGGTGCCTTCCCCTGCAGAGGGGCCGAAATTTCACCTCGGCCATGTGGGAGAGCCACCAGCCCGTGCCATGTTGCTTATGCTGGTCTGTTCTGGGGCAGAGCCCGTGGCAGGGCGTTTACCTGCGCTGGTTCGTTACATGCAGCTGCTAATGAGCGGTAGGACTCTGCAGTTGTGTGTAATTGTGCAAAGATCATTGCAGAATCCATGGGTCTTTGGTTTTATCATGAACGTAGCAAACAGGGAAAAAATGAGACAGGTTGGATTTAACAGCATATTTTATACTGTCCTTTTAAAGGCAGAAAGATGACTTAGGCTAGAAAGGTTCAATGGGATTTAAGCAGCCTGGTGTTCCCAGGTGAGACCTGTCGGTCCCTGCAGCCACCTCGGGTACAGCCTTGACTTCTTCGCACACCAGCACAGACAGACCCTTCCTACGTGAGCAAGTTTTATTCCCTCCTGTCCAGACTTGTCTTTATTAAACGCAAACCCAGGGAAGATCAGTGCCAACACCAGTTGTTGGACCCATCGCGTTTTGTGGAGATGGTAGCTGGGGTGCGAAGGGGCAGCAGGCTTTGCCATGTCCTGCCTCCTGGGTGCTGCCTTCCTCTGGCAGCTAAAAATTCATCATTTGTTTGTCTGTTCTGAACTAGTAACCTTGGCCTTGGCCCTGTAACCTGTATTCACACCTATGAGTTTATTGGCTTCAAAGGAACCCCACATACAGGTAAAACTTGGAGGAATGGGTCGGGAATGACAAAATCTGAAGTCCTTATTCTGTTTTTTCTCTGTCTTTCCTCAGGCAAAATTTCTGTGGACTTCATCAGGATTTTCTCTTAAGGGAGAAAAAGCCCTGTGTGATCTGCTCAGGGCTTGGCCTTGGGTTGGTGGGTGGAGGTAGTAGCAAATCATTACAAGACTGAAAAACAATTAGGGTTCCTGAAGCGATGGTTGCTCGCTCTGGTTAGACACCTGACTGGATCTTCGCGTGACTGTTTCTCACTGAGGATCTCAGAAAACTTTCAGACATGTGTTGGATGTCTCAGGGGACCCGCAGGGGACCTGAGCAACATGTGCAAGCGGAGCGGATGAAGGAGCTGCAATGTTAATGGAAACCGGCTCCCACCTGAGACCGGGTGGAGGTTTTGCTGACAGTTTGTGGTGACATTCAGGAAAGCTCCCCGAGAGGTTTCCTGCCGCGCCGGCTGGCTGCGTCCCTCCCCACTCCCGCGGGTCTCGGCAGGCAGCAGCGAGCCCGGCGGTGGGTGAGCAGCCTGTTCCTGGGTGCGGGCGGGGGGTTCAGAGCTGTCGGTAACCCCGGGGTGCTCTCTGTTCCTCTTGCAGGTGAGCCCTCCCGGTGGTCCTCGTCCCACTGCGACTGCTGCTGCAAGAACGGCAAAGGCGACAAGGAGGGAGAGAGCGGCACGTCGTGCAATGAGCTGTCGACGTCGAGCTGCGACAGCCAGTCGGAGGCCAGCTCCCCCCAGGAGACCGTCATCTGCGGCCCCGTCACCCGCCAGCCCAACATACAGACTCTGGACCGGCCGGCCAAGAAGGGGCCGGTGCAGCTGCTGCAACAGTCCGAGATCCGGAGGAAGAGCGACCTGCTCCGGACTCTCACCTCCGGCTCCCGGGAGTCCAACTCCAGCAAGAAAAAAGCAGTGAAGGAGAAGCTCTCTATTGAGGAGGAGCTAGAAAAATGTATCCAGGATTTCCTCAAAATCAAAATCCCAGACAGGTTTCCAGAAAGGAAACATCCCTGGCAATCCGAACTGCTGCGGAAGTACCACCTATAGGCTCAGGGTGGGGAAAACACACGACCTTATTACCGTTAGAGCAAGATTCTAAGTGATACAAAAATAATTCCCAATAATAATTATTTGTTAGGTCACCTAAAAAAAAAAAAAATCCATCTCTATAGTACTGCCTAATTTGCCTATTTCACCTTAACATTTATAGTCATAGGGTAATGATATTTTTCCAGTCGTGGAAGCACAATGACAAACGCTTTTGTTTGTAAACTCTGAGTCTTACACAAGCTGAATACCTTAAGGGCACAACCATACTGACCACAAGAGATGCTCGCGTGCGGGTGCTGCTGATGCCGGTGGGAACGTGGCGCGTGAGCAGGCAGTGTCCGGGGGTGTCTGTGGACTGCATGCCTTCTGCGTTCTCCTTGTAGTGCGTTTGTTTGGAGGGGTGTACACAGCTCAAAGAAACAAGCTATGCCATGACAGTTTACCTTAAGCATGTGTATATATATATATGTGCATATATATATATGTGTGTATATATATCTCGGTGTATATATATATGTGTATATATATCAATATATATTGCTTAAAGATTTTCTGGCTCTCTCCTTATAACTGCACTTTCTCAGAAAAGAGCATTTTTTAGCAGTCTGTGGATGTTCCGTTTCTTCTTCAGGTCTTTGAGGGTTGAACAGTAGAAAACCCATCTCACTGTCTCTCTCCCCCGCTCCCTCTCTCTCTCTTCCCC